GCAGATAGTGGGTTGAAGAGGGGAGTGGAGAGATAGAGGAGTAAGGGGGGAAACAAACGAGTGTGCCAACAAATAGAGAGAGAGGCCTATACTGAAACAGATAAAAACAATAGACCACAGCTACAGTCGAACCAACTCTCATACAAACAAAAATAAAACATATAGTGATGCTAATATACAAGCTAACCAACCACCTTGTTAGTGTGCTGTTCCTCTATACAAACATATGGTTTACAGAGAGAAGAAAAGAGAAGGAAAAGGAAAAAAGAAAAAAGGGAACAATACAGTAGGACTAGAATTAAGTCATTAAACTGATAGAAACAATGAAGCACACTCTGAGACCTTTCGTTTAAGTCCAATGTCCTTTCAGGTCTGATTTCTAGTTTTCTTTTCAAGCTGGTAAATTAGTTTGCAGTTAGAGTCAATTGCCCCTGATCTGCTGTGAAGGACAGTTCAGATTAACCTTCCTTCAGCAGTTTGGTCTATGTCTTTATCAAGCTTGTTTCTCCCGTTTCGGTGTTGTTACCTTGAATCGCCAGCAGGTGGTGCTATCTCATCTGCTCGCCCCAGAGGGGGTGGGGCCGGACAGGAACAAGATGACTGCCTGCCTCCGAGCAGGCAACAGGAGCCCCACACCGGGCGGGCAGGACAGTCTCGGACGCAGGATAGGTGGCAGCAATCCCAGCAGATCTTCCCTGAAGCGGTTCGTTGTGGATCTCCTCGGGCTGCGTGGTGCGATATGCTACCCCTCCCAGAGGCCGTGGCGGCGGTGGCGCCGGTGATGGCAGCAGCAGCGGCGGTGGAGGGTGGGGCGGCAGCGGTGGTGGTGGCGGGACCATTTGGAATGCAGTCAAAACTGTCCAGTCGTTCCGATGGCAGCGGCCGAGCTCTGTCTGTAGAGCAGGCTGCGATGCTGGGGTCCCCAGCCCTCCAGGGCGAGAGTCAGAGACCCGCTGCAGATCTCCCTTGCAGAGGGCTTCAGACGCCGGGTTGCCCTGTCGCCATCTTGCCACGCCCGGGAAAGAGCCCCCCAAAGGCTTTTAAGACACATTCATTCTGTCTCTAACTGGCATCCCTAGGCATTATAACCCAGGATCATTACCATCATCTTTTCCCTCTCTTAAAGTCAGTTTCCTATATCTGGACCCATTTTTCACACAGATCTGAATCTCCATTTAAAAAGTACAAAAGCTGAACATTTTAACATACGTTAAAATAGTGATTACTTAAAACAAGCAGAAGTGTCATTCACAAAAAAGCATAGGCTTTAGAATCAGACACACCTGGGTCACATTTTGGCTATGTCACCTACTAGCTCTGTGACTTTTAGCAAATTAACTTTTTGTCTCATTTTCTCATTAATAATTTGGTACTCAATACACATTAGTTACCTTACCTCTGCAAGATTTTTCTGTTTTTAACCAACAATAGATGAGAAAGATGGATATACAGGGCCTTTGGCCTCACTGAAATGGTCTGACATGACCACTCCTCTTCAATCTCCTTCTTCAACTTTCTTTGACATGTGTGTACATGACCTTCCCATGAATGGTTACTCAGCAGCTCTCTCTGGGAACCAGTGGATCCTATGCATTTTGAGGTGTTAACTAAGGGGCTTTCTTAGTGTTTGAACAGGCTCCACATGGTCTAAAGTATGAGAATAAGTCTTTTTATTATAAATACCACAATCTTCAGTTTCCTACCTGGATGATAACTCATAAATATTTCCTAGTATAAATTTTCAATTGTCTTTCACTGTCTTAAACCCTCTGAAGAGAGGAGGAGCTGGCTTTAAATACCGTAAAATATAGAAGAACCAGAAACTCACTATCTAGGATTCCTGTTTTTTAACTTAACAGACTTTTAAAAGCAATTCCAGAATTTTTAAAACTGGAAATGTCATCAGTTCATAGAACCCTATGAAGAAGAGACCTAAGAGGTCACATTTGCAGATGAGCAAACAGACCCAGAGATTTTCCTAAGATTACACAGCCACCCAAAGCAGAGACTGGACTTAGAATTTCCTGCTCTCCAATATGGAACTCTTTCTAATCTCTTATGCATTTTAAAGATGAATAAATTGAAGCTGAAATAATTTGTTACTCTATCAACACTCATTAGCCACTTATTTTCCTTCTATCATATCCTATCTCATACTTATTAGTAAAATTTGACTGATTATCAAGTGCAACAGGACTGTTAAGTTTACTTTCTTGAGCCTTTAATTTTTTGGTTTGTTTTTCTTTTCTAACAGAGTCTACGAGAAAACTCATTCCATGTGGCCTTTCTTGGTTCAGAGGAAACCAGATTTCAGGAACCCTCTCTACAAAGGCTTCACTATGTATGGGGTACTCAATCCTAGTACTGTGCCCTACAACATTCAGTAAGTTCCTAAGCTGTCACCTTTTTTCTTACAGCAGGTCCCAGCCTTAGCTTCCTTGCTTTTCCTTGGATAGGTGCCACCATCTGTATGTCTGGCTGTGAAGTTGGACACTCTGCCCCCATATCACCTATTCCTTGTTACCTCTGAAAAGAAGAGCTCAACTACTTCTGGTTTTCATGGCTTTGTTATTACTTGCTTAGGGAAATAAATAATAGTTGATTTGTAAGAATACAACCAGGATAAAGGTTGTTTGATTCTTTTAGTCTTCTCCTTTTCTCTCCCTTTCCCCAACGAAGAAAAATGAGAAAAACAGAGAGTGCTGGTATTGTTTGCCATATTTTTCTAAATCTTTTGCAGGCTGAAGTGACCACTGATAGCTGCAAGACAGAGCTGAATATGTTTATTAGCTCTAATAGCTTGTTTTATAGATTCTTTAGCATTTATATAGATAGGATCATGTACATTTCTGATTAGAAGTAGTTTCATGTCTTCCTTTTCTTTTCTGTTTTTTTTTTTTTTGAGTTGGAGTCTCACTCTGTCGCCCAGACTGGAATGCAGTGGCATGCTCTCGGCCACCGCAGCCTCGACCTGCTGGGCTCCAGCGATCCTTCTGCCTCAGCCTTCCAAGTAGCTGGAACTACAGGTGCGCGCTACCATGCCTGGCTAATTTTTTAATTTATTGTAGAGATGAGATCTCACCAAGTTGCCCAGGTGGGTTTCGAACCCACGGGCTCAGGCAATCCACTCACCTCGGCCTCCCAAAGTGCTGGGATTACAGGCTGAGCCACCAAGCCCAGCCCATGTCTTCCTTTTCAATTTGAATTCCTTTTATATTCTTGCCTAGTTGCCCTGACTGGAACTTCCATACAACGTTGAGTAAAAGTAGTGAAAGCAGCTGTCCCTGTCTGGTTACCCACAGACTGGGTAACCTCAATGGACCTATCTTTAATTTTATTAATTCGGTCTTCTATATGCTGAAATCTGTTGTTGTACCTCTATAATGAATTTTTTTTTAATCTGTTATTGTACTTTTCATCTCCAGAATTTCTATTAGGCTCCTTTTTATAATTTCTTTCTCTTCATTGATATTATCTATTTGGTGAGATAGTGTTCTCCTGGTTTTTAGTTATTTACCCATAGTCTCCTTTAGTTATTTAAAACAGTTGATTTAAATGTATTGACTAGTAAGACTAATATCTGGGCTTCCTCATGGTCAGTTTCTATTATTTTCCTTTTTCCTATGAGTGGATCATACTTTTTTTTTCCCTAATAACTCTTAATTTTTTTTGTTGAAAACTAGACAGTTTTAATATTGTAAAAAGTAATGCTGAAATCAGATTCTCACTTCTCTTTAGATTTGTTTGTTGCTACTTGTTGTGGGTTAAAATTGTTGGTTTAGTGACTTTTCTAAACTATATTTGTAAAGATTGTATTATTTGTCATATGTAGTCACTGGTTTCTGTCCATTAGTTTAGCTGTTAGGTAGTGATTTGATAGAGCTTTCCTTAAATGCCAAAACAATTAAAATAGTCTTTGGAGATTGTCTCTGTGCTGGTATATGCCTTTAGTGCTTAGGCAGGCATTTATAACTGTTACTAGCCTTCACGTCCTGCTTGTGTAGAGCCTAAAAGTCAGCCACAGGTGAAAGTTACGAGTTTTTTGAGCATGTTTCCAGCCCTGGGCATGTGTCTGGCCTTATACATTTCCCTCCTGGTATATATAGGACTTTCCAGAGCCCTTATTCTCCCATGTATCTCCTTCCCTGACCTCTTCCTTCCCAGGCTTTTTTTTTTTCAGTCTTCTGCTTGCCTCATTGATCATCCCTTACTGTGGCTAGTATATTTACCTTTTTGGCAAATATTAGCCAGAAGGCTACTCCAGCTCTGAGAAAGTGCTGAGGTGGGCAAAATAAAGGCAAGGCCCTGAGCTCATCCCATTGGGAGCTTCCAGGCAAGCCAAAATTTACAACTATAATTTTCTGAGTTCAAGAATTATATTGCCCCTCTGGCAGCACAAAGCCACATCAGTAATGTAGACCACCATTTCTAGGGCCACAACTAAGCTGGGGAATAGGGGATGACAGGAGTTAAGTCAAAATGTTGTTAACAGCCTCCTACCAAAATTTAAGAGCCTCTTTTTTTCTTTATTTAGCATTCCCCTGGTTGTTGTAAGTTTTGGGGGCTTTTTGTTTGTTTGTTTGTTTAATTCGATTCTAGAGTCTTGGAAAAGTTGATTCTTGTAGTTTCTACCAGTTTAATCATTGCATTAGTGGAGTTCCCTACTCCACCATTTTTAGTGATGTCATTAAGATAGGTATATGTGATTGCCACCATTATTCTTTTTAACTTTGAATATTTCAGCTGAAAACTTCTCAATGAAGTGATACATGTGCTTATTGACAACTGTAGTGCCAGAAATTTCCCTGCATTTCTTTTAGAAGTAAATAACAGATCTAGGGGGAGATGGAGTAGAAATATTTTCCCTTCTGTCCCCATTAAATGAAACTAAAACCTCCAGTCATTATAAAACAAATATTAAGCAACTATAACAGGTGCAGGGAAGAAGGCAGATTGACTAGGATACACAGGTCCTAAGGAACAGCATGGGTTCTATGGGTTTTATTTTTGCCCCTTATATTCCAGAGTTGGAGGTGAATTAGCTGGCAACCTAGAAATGCCATAGGCACAGGAAAAAAGTCACAAAGAGAAGCCTATCCTGTCTAGCAAAAGGAACAGGAAATAGACAATCTAGTAAGACAGAAAACTTTACAACACAACTGCTCTTCTCCTGTCAAACACTATAGAAAAAGAAAAACAAACAGACAAACTATGCCTCCAGTGAGCCAGAAAAGACTACGTCAGAAGTCTAGATTTTTGCCCTCATCAAGCTGTAACAAGGTACCTAAACAGCCCCTCACCTCACCCACCTGCCAGAGTGGTGTCAGAGAAGGCCAAATTGGGAACTGGGATTTTGATTCCTAAACAATACTCCCATTTTTGCAGTATCAGTGGAGGCCATGTGGAGACTCTGGACTTCTGCCTACACTAAGAGATAATAAAGTACCTCTCTGCCTTTCTGCTTGGATAGTATGGAGGAAGTCCAGTGGAGAGCCAGGATGTTCACGACCATCCAGCATTAATGAGGCTACACCCTTTGGTATCATTGGAGGTCACATGGTGAGAAGTAATGCGGCACCTTTGTCCAGCCCTGCTAGGGTGTTATTAGTATGCTGATAACAGCAGGAAACGTGTATCCTCATTTCTACTTAATGGTACTATGAGGTCCCCTCCCCAACTCAAGTGTCAGTGGATGCTAAGTGGAGAGCCTTGACTTGGGAAAAACACACACATATTTTTTTAAATTGAAATTATACAAAATGTTTTCTATGACTACAATAGACTCAAACTATTAATAGAAATCAGTAACAGAAAGATAACAGGGAAATCTACACACTCTTAGAAACTAAACAGCATACTTTTAAGTAATTAATGTATCAAATAAAGTCTTAAGGGAAAAATACATTGAAATAAATTAAAATGAGAATACAGTATACCAAAACTTGTGGGATGCAGCTGAAGCAGTGCAGAGTGAAATTTATAACGCTAAATGCTTACACTTGAAAAGAGAAGCCGGGCTCGGTGGCTCAGCCTGTAATCCCGCGCCTTTGGGAGGCTGAGGTGCATTGCCTAAGCCCCCGCAGGTTCGAGACCCGCCTGGGAAGCGAGACCTCATTCTACAATAAATCAAAAACTCAGCCGGGTGTGATAGCACATGCCTGTAATTCCGGCTACTTGGAAGGCTGAGGCGGAAGGATCACCGGAGCCCAGCAGGTCAAGGCTGTGGTGGCCGGGAGTGGCCACTGCACTCCAGTCTGGGTGACAGAGTGAGACTTCAACTCAAAAAACATAAAAATAAAAAAAAGAAAGAAAAGAGAAAAAGTCTCAAATATTCTAAGGTAGCATATCAAGAGCCTATCAAAAGAAAAGTAAAACCAAAACAAGAAGGAAAGGAAAAAATATATATAATAATAAGAGTAGAAAGACTGACAAGACTGACACAAATTGCCTGTGTCTGGAATGAAGCAGGAGATATTACTACAAACCCCACAAGCATCAAAAGGATAATAAGGGAATCCTATAAACAACTATATGCCACATGAATTAGACACCTTTGATAAAAGACAATTCCTTAAAAAGCACAAACTACCACACCTCACCCAATATGAAATAGATAATTTGAATAGTCATATAGTTATTAAGGTATAGACATAACTTACTTTATTGCACTTCACTTTATTGTACTTTGCAGATATTGTTTTGTGCAGATTAAAGGTTCATTACAGCCTTGCATTGAGCAAGTACATCAGTGCCATTTTTCCAAGAGCATTGGCTCACTTCATATCTCTGTCACATTTTGGTAATTTTTGCAATATTTTGAACTTTTTCATTATTATTAATCTGTTATGGTGATTCATGATAGTGATCTTTAATGTTACTATTGTAATTGTTTGGGGGCACCAGGAACTGCCTCTCTATTCCCTGAGACACAAAAATATTGAAATCAGTCCAGTTAATAATCCTTCCATGGCCTTTAAGTGTACAAGTGAAAGAGTTGTACATCTCTCACTTTAATTTAAAAGTTAGGAATGATTAAGCTTAGCGAAGATGGCATGTCAAAAGCAATGATAGGCTGAAAGCTCAGCTTCTTGTGCCAAACAATAGCCAAGTTGTAAATGCAAAAGAAAAGTTCTTGAAGGAAATTAAAAGTGCTACTCTAGTGAGCACATGAATGATATGAAAGCAAAACAACCTTATTGCTGATATGGAAAAAGTTTTAGTGGTCTGTAAAGAAGATCAAACCAGCTACAACATTCCCTTAAGTCAAAGTATGATTCAGAGCAAGGTCTCAACTTCAATTCTCTGAAGGCTGAAAAAGGTAAGGAAGCTGCAGAAGAAAAGTTGGAAGCTAGCAGGGTTGTTTCATGAGATTTGAAAGTAGCC